AGCCGAGTCTTCAGAGCCAGGGTGGTGTTTAGCTCCGCCCTCTCCAGACAGCTCAGGTCGTGAGTGGATGTTGGAGCAGGAGGTTCCACCACATGTCTGAGGCCTACAACAAGCAGCAGACAGGACAAGACTGAGTCATTCATCCAGTTTAGTAAACCAGTAAGGCCATGGATACTCAGCTGTTCCCCAACAAAACAAAAACGAGCTGTTGATATTTCAGGAAGCTGTACAGTTTTCACATAAAGGCTCTGTGGGGTCTCAAATACATACACACAGTCACTTAAACCTTTTAATAAGTGAATGAGGCGGAGCCTCGGTGCTTCCACAGACTGCTGGAACAAAAGCATCACTGTCCACTAGTGGTGCAACGGATCACGATTGATCCGAAATCCGAACCGATCCCACTCCACGGTTCGGCACACACGTGAAAAAAGTATGTGTATGGTGGCGTGGTGGGTCTGTCGAGCGGTAGCTATGCTCAGCGCTAGCGGTCCAAGTGGAGGAGCAGAGGAGTATTTAAGCAGCCCTTTGCTGCCCAGCCCGACGGCTAAAGCTGTTACAGAAGCTGCTGGGGTGTGTAGCTGCAGACGGGAGGCCGTATTCTGTCTGCAAAACAAGGGGTTTAATAGTCAACGTGTTAGTTGACGCATCGATGCCGTGCAGCCCCACACACGGGGCGATCCGCGGTAACTAGTTAACGGAGATTCACCGCGTTGATGCAGTTATGGCATTAACGTCATTTTAACAAGATTTACGCTGACAGCACCAGTTTGAACTGTGATGAACGTGCTATGACATCCCGTCGCGCGTCCACTTCAGTGAGAAGATCACTACAAGCATGTGTGAGCAGGAAAAGTTCAACGTTGTGGCTGAGCTGTCCCACGCATCTTCTGTTGCCCTAACTACGACCTCCAGGGCAACGGAAAGCCACGTGACCGCTCGTTATATCACAGCGGTAGATACAAAGCCCTGCACTGCATCTTAATTTGTTTTTATATAATTGTGTGGAATGAGCTGAATGTTTTTAACAGGCAAAAAGTACTTAAATAAGTTAATAAGTAAATGTTAAAATTTTCTGTTTTTTGCTGATCCGTGACTTAAAACCGTGATCCGATGTGCTTTACACCCCTGCAGCTCACACTTCACATTGTGCTTGGTGATCAATGTTAAAGACACACAACAACACAAGCTTGTCTCACATGGTGCAGAGAAAACAAAACGTAACACATGAATGAGCAGGTGTGGCTCAGTACTTCGTCCGTGCAGTCCATAATCTCAAACTGTAAAATACTGGCAGCCTCCTGCAGCAGAGGCACCTGTGGCATACATTTTAAAATCTCTGCCTTTGAATCTGAGGTTGCGATCAGTGAGATTCACACTCGTCCCAAAGTCTGAACAAATGCACGTGTGGTAGGGCTGCACGATATTAGGAAAACCTGCGATGTGCGATAACTGTGATCAATACTGCGATAGCGATATCACTTGCGATAAAATAAATTGCAAAACAAACAAAAAACGAATACATAATTTCCGTTTTACTGCAACAGTTTTATTTAATGAAAGCTGCTGTTAGCAGAGTAACAACAAAGTGCACTTTAACATTGAAACATTGCCCCATAAAAAAATTCTGAGGCTTGAATTTTGAAAGACATCCTTCCTGGTCTCTAGAATTAGTTTTAAGTAAACATAACTTAAATTATACTGCAAATGATCTCAGTGCAGCTGTTCATCATTTTATCTCTCACCAAGTAGTTATGATGCAAGTCGAAACTGGAGAGGAAACTTTACTGTAGTGCTGGCGTAGCTTCAGCTTGGCTCAGTTCAAACATTCGAATATTTGTGGAATGGCGACGTGGGAAAAGTCGTTTCGTGAGGGGATGCGGTATCTCCGGTCCACTTTATGTATCAGACTGGTGAAGCCGTCTCTGCTAACTGCATTTACAGGCATCATGTCTTTGTCAAAAATGTGTAATGGCCTCTGTTATTTCAAATTCAAATTCAAATTTTTATTTGTCACGTACACAGTCATACACAGTACGATATGTAGTGAAATGCTTGGACAACTGCTCGTGACCTAAAGAAAACAAAAAAGGAAAAGGCTATGAATAAGATAGGAAATAAATATGAAAAATTAAAAAGGGTAAATTTAACTAGGAAGGAATAAAATATAAATTAAGGTTAAAAATGAAATAACTGTACAACACAAATTAGAATGAAGGGTAAATTTAACTGGGAAAGAATAAGATAAAATATATAAATTAAAGTTGAAAATAAAATAACTGTACAACAAAATACACAATATAGAACTATATAAGAATGTATGAAGAAATCTAAATATAAATAAATTCTTTGTAGCGCTTCGACGTTTTCTCATAAGTTGTTCCACTTGAAAAACTCTGATACAGAGACGGCTGTTGCTGCGGCGCTCTTTGTCTAACATTAGCAACATTAGCTAGCCCGGTCTTTCTGGAACTCTTCAAACAGTTCTCTGTGGTTGTGT